AGAGAGAGAAAGTACAAGCAGGGGGAGATGAGCAGAGGGAGAGAATCCAAAGCAGGCTCCACACTCAGCCCAAAGCCTGACACAGGGCTTAATCCCACGACCCTGGGATCATGACCTGAAGCAAAATCAAGTCAGTCACTCAACCAACTAAGCCACTCAGGGGCCCCTAGACAATTTTCCTATGTACAGGGAGGGGTATCTTTGCTGCCCTAACATTTTTTTATTCTCAGTTATTCCACCCAAATATTAAAACTCAAACTCAAAACTATGATTACTCCAACCTTAAGTATTCTTTAAAAGTCAGGGGATGCCTGAGTGGCTCAGTCAGTTGAGCATCTGACTTCGACTCAGGTCATGATCTCATGGTTCGTGGGTTCGAGCCCCGTGTCAGGCTCTGTGATGACAGCTGGCTCAGAGCCTGGAGCCTGTTTCAGATTCTGTGTTTCCCTCTCTCTCTCTCTCTGCCTCTCCCCCACTCGTGCTCTGTCTCTCTCTGTCTCAAAATTAAACTATATAAAAAAAAATTTTAATAAAAAAAGTCAGTAGTTGAGGTACATTAGCAAGCAAGGAATATTCTACAGAACAATCATTTAAAACATGTCAAAATAGGGGCGCCTGAGTGGCTCAGTTGGTTAAGCATTCAACTTCAGCCCAGGTCATGATCTTGCGGTTCAAGCCCTGCATCAGGCTTTGTGCTGACAGCTCAGAGCCTGGAGCCTGCTTTGAATTCTACGTCTCCCTCACTCTCTGCCCCTAACAAGCTCATGCTGCTCTCTCTCCTTCTCTCTCAAAAAAATAAAATAAACAAAACAGTAAAAATTGTCAAAATACGTGAATTTTGATGTACGGGTTGTCATTAGGCTAATGGTTCTTTGTGCTGTTCTAAGTAATTTAACTTTTGTTACCCTTATAACCCAATTTACAGTGAGGAAAGCTGAGGCAATGGTAAGCTACTTGACCAACAATACACAGCTAGCAAGTGACTAAGCAGGGATTCAAACCCACCCCATGCTCTGAACCACTATGCAATACACTAAAAACAGCAATTCCACAGACAAGGACCCAAAAGTGTTTATCCAAGTGGCAGAGATAGGCTAAAATGTGTTTTAGTGTACTCTCAGACTATTTCATAGTTACTTCAAGCATTTAAATAAAACATCTAATATTTTACAGCTAACCTGTGTGTCAATCCTTCAGGATTACTCTCTATGGGGATACTTTATACAATAAACCAAAGATGCTCGCTTTAGCGTTGTACTGCACAGTGAGCTTTCTTGAGTATTCTTTTGAGTACACTGTAAAGACAAAAGGAACTACCAAATGATAAAATTAAAAAGTATCTGAAACAGTAAAATGTCTGGAGTGCCTGGGTGGCTCATTCGGTTAAGCGTCCGACTTCGGCTCAGGTCATGATCTCACAGTTCGTGGGTTCGAGCCCCGCGTCGGGCTCTGTGCTGACAGCTCAGAGCCTGGAGCCTGTTTCAGATTCTGTATCTCCCTCTCTCTCTGACCCTCCCCGGCTCATGCTGTCTCTCTATCTCTCACTCTCAGAAATAAAACATTAAAAAAAGAAAAGAAACAGTAAAATGTCCTTATAAAAAGAAAATGTTGAGGCACGTGGGCAGTTCAGTTGATTAAGCCCAACTCTTGGTTTCAGCCCAGGTCATAATCTCATGGTTCATGGGTTTGAGCACTGTCCACCTAGGGCCTGCTTGGGATTTTCTCCCTCTCATTCTCTGTCCCCTACCCTCACTCATGCACGCTCTTTCAAAATAAATAAAAATGAAAAAAAAAAAAGAAAAAGAAAATGTTACAGTAATGATGCCAACATGCTTAATTAATATTTATAGGGCTCTGTTAAAATGTATTTGACCTGGAATGAAATGACTCTTACATATATTAAAAGGACAAAACAGGGGCACCTGGGGGGCTCAGTCAGTTGAGCATCCGACTTTGGCTCAGGTCATGATCTCACAGTTTGAGCCCCACATTGGACTCTATGCTGACAGCTCAGAGCCTGGAGCCTGCTTCAGATTCTGTGTCTCCCTCTCTCTCTGCCCCTCCGCTGCTCATTCTCCTCTCTCTCAAAAATAAATAAAAAACATTTTTTTAATTTAAAGAACAAAATGATTCCAAAATATCTTCAATTTGTATGACTACCAATTAAAATACTCCCTTTGTACCTTTTTCTCAGGACCACTCTACCTGTCATATTTTCCCTTGCTTGAAATAAAGTTGTCCTTATAACACTCATTTTTCTAATTAAGTTTCAAATACTTTCTAAACTTAGGTTGAGCCACATAAAAGTCCCCTTTCAACCACTTTTACCTATGGGATGGCCACTGCCATCTAAAACGTTCCCCAACTCAACATACCAAAAACAATAAATGTACTTAACAAAGTTATGACTGTTCCATTACTGTAATACTTTCCTGGTAGCATGCAAGAGAATAAAGTTTATACTGTTTTCAGACTTAATATGATAGGAAATAAAAATAAAGAGTAATCATTCTCATGAGAAAACATTCACAATATATTGTGAAGTATAAAAGACAGAGTTACCAAATAGTATGATACCAATTTTGCTTATACACAAAAATACCAAATATTACAACTTTGTTTTAGACTTTAGGATTTTTATTCTCTTTATTTGACAGTTGTTTTCCTAATTTTCTAAATAAAATGTAGTATTACTGTGATTTACAAAAAAGTTAAGAGAAGTCAATCTTTGCTTAATACATCAATGAAATAAATACACATGCACTCTAAAGCAACTATGAAAATTTTAAGTAGCCTACATCTTTTTGTTAACTCAGTACCAAAGTCCATGAGAAATAACACAGTAACTTGTTAAGTTATTTCTAAGAGCACTAACCATGTGCTATGTTGATATGGACAAACGGCTTTATTCCATACATGACGTAAATTAACAGTTGGGTTTGGTTTCATCACTATTATAAAATGATAATTTGTGCTGCTAACAAATAAAGACCAGACCAAAAAGCTAAGACATAAGGTATCAATACGGAGTAGAGAAATAGAAGGAGATTAAGAACCAGAAATAAGCATGAGATTAAAAACCTGAAATAATCATGAGAAATAAAGGATAAAGAAACAAACAAAAACGCTATATTCCTCTACTACACGTATAAAAAAACTTTTAGAAAATACATGTTTTGTTATTTAAATGGACAAACATAAATGTTATAATTATCTTCTGGGGGTATCCTGCTTTATAAATGGAATTCAGATGTGGATTAAACTAATTAAACTAATTTTACCTGAGTTCATTGCTAACTACATAAAATAAGGTTTGATATGTATGTAAGCTCTGAGATTCTGCTGATTAACCAGCTAAGTAAGCGATTCTACCCAGACTGGGTTCTTTTATTTATAAACCAAACATTCTAAAAAACTACAGGAAGAAAGGTTCATGTTGAATAGACAAATGGACCATCAGGTAAACAGCTCACTTAGTCCACTGTGGTTTACTGCCCTCTGGCTGTTGTGGCAAAGGATATCACAGATTTAAAAAAAAAAACAAAACAAAACAAAACAAAAAACAAAAAAAAAGGGTGGGGGGGGCGCTGCAAAGAAAAGGTAGTAAGATATCAAGCCAAATTGGCAGGAAATTCTTGAGTCATATTCAGACACCTTAGAATAGAACCTCAAATGCACATTAAGGTTAGTTTTCCTCCTTCCCTTAAAAAAAATATATCACTAAATATATCAACAAAACATTTCAAACATCTGAAATTTTTCAACCACAAACTAACAAAATATAGAGTAGTTTGGACATAATAAAAGCTGGCTCTAAGAGAGTTAATCAAAAATAGTTAACACACTACCCTAAAGATTGTAATTAATCTTGATTTAGAAAAATTACTTAGCGTATTAAATGGAAACATTTAGGTAATGAAGTAAAAAAATTTTACCAGACATTCAAAGAATATTGACAAAATTTCCTCTGGTTATAAATCTATGGTAAATACAAAAAAAAAAAAAAAAAAAAACCTAGCTTGGAATAATGAAAGTCTTACATTAATTCAAAGTCTCCACAGGGCACCTGGGTGGCTCAGTCGGTTAAGCATCCGACTTCGGCTCAAGTCATGATCTCACAGTTTGTGGGTTCGAGCCCCGCATCGGGCTCTGTGCTGACAACTAGCTCAGAGCCTGGAGTCTGTTTCAGATTCTGTGCCTCCCCCTCTCTCTGACCCTCCCCTGCGCATGCTGTCTCTCTCTCTCTCTCTCAGAAATAAATAAAACATTAAAAAAATTGTTTATAAATAAAACCAAATTACTTAAAAAAAAAAAAACACACACACACACAAAGTTTCCACATATCAGATGTAATCTGAAATTAAAAATTAGACACCACTGGAAGTATTTCCTGGAATCACCTAATTTTATGAAAAGCAGAACAAAACAAAGGAAAACTTGCTACATCAAAATCAGATCAGATTCTTTAATCTTTCTACAAAATACTGTCCAATGTTATCTCATAATCTTTCCCAATAAGGCTTGTACTAACTTTCTATTAGCACTTTACAACTTTCCACCAGTGTTGAGCTGGTAATGAACCACAACAGCCACAGTCCAAGAAAAAACAATTCTGTTCATTTCACGGACTTGATAATTACTCACAACTTACTATCATTTTAAAACAGTGAATCTTAGCCTTGTTCCACCCCAAAACACCCAGGGGACACAATATTTTCCTTTAAGAACAGTGGTTCACAGATTCTGGTTCCTAGCATGACTGGGAAAGAACAAATGAATTTGAAAAAAAAAAAAAAAATAGGAGTAGAGAGAAGAGGGGTAAGAGTGAGGATGTTCCTTTCGAGAGACACACCCATTAAACACTTGGATTGTTCTCAGCAAGTTTTAATAAATTCTTTTTGAAATGTACTACTGTTAAAAAAGAAATATATATATACATATAAATATATATATATATATAAATGATGATAACCGTTTTTAAGAAAAAACAAAAACCTTACCCTGCAGTTCATGATGTATTACACCCACTAGGTTGGGCTCGTCTCCCCACCAGAAAATCCATAACTCTTTGCAATCTGGTTTGACATCACGACGCCACACACACAGCAAGTTGGCTTGCAAACAGCGGATGAAACTTAACAGGATTGGATCATCTTGGGCTGGGGCTGAAATTATGGGTCCACAGTCCCCATGCCCTCCAAAATTGTACCTACGCCATTTGATTCCCGTGAGTTCAGCCTGGAAAAAGACAAGAAAATTACAATGGTTTTGATATTTAGAACACTAAAAACAGGATTCCATACAGATAAGCAAATCTGCCAAAATAAATATTTTCACTACACTTCACCTAAGATTTCTCTCACTGAAAAATGTTTGTCAACCCTCCCTGATTTTAAAAGGGGAAAAAATCATTTCTATCAAGATTTCTACATAACTCTTTATATTAAATACCAACTCACCACAAACAAATGATTATTATTTCCAGTTGAACCATTTTTACCTAAAATTTACTATACAGTCCTTATATATAAAAGCTATTTTCTATTATTTCTTATTTGATTCATAAATTATACTTAGAAATCAGGTAAGAGGGACACCTGGGTGGCTCAGCAGGTTAAGCGTCCAACTGTTCATTTCAGCTCAGGTCATGATCAAGCCCCACGTTCATCTCTGTGCACAGCCTGCCTGGGATTCTCTCTCCCTCTCTATCTCTGTCCCTCTAACTCGCTCACACACACATGCGTGCTCACTCTCTCTCTCTCTCTCTCACAAAATAAATTTAAAAACATTTTTATAAAAGGAAATCAGGTAAGAGTTTAAAAACTAAGTTTATAAAACTGAAATAATTTCTTTCAAAGGATCTCAATTTCTTCCCATCCAGAAGCTGGTTTAAATCCCTATTAATCAAGAAAGCAGTCAGCAGGCTGCACCAGAGTGCCTCACAGTTCACACCAAAGCAACCTACTAATAAAACTGATGCAAAGTTATCAGCAATTTATTCATGCTCTTCAGCATGGAACACAGAGAAAAGCTTTGCTTCTAGGACAATTCACTAATGTAGTTTTGTCTTTTGTCTTCCAAACACATTTTAAAACTTGGAAACTAAACCAGCTGTGAGCGGAACCTGGGTCTTTATCCCATTACCTACATTTGTATTTTAAGACTTCTTAAATCTTAGAGGGCTAAGCAGCTAAAACTCAAAGACAGTTCAACACAAATAGAAGTTGAACTCCTTATTTTAGTAGCTATAAACTACAACTATGTATTCAAGCTGATAATGAAAGGGATTCATAATACAATGCTATATGTGCATCCTTGCTCATCTTTCCCTCCCCACCCCCACAAGGTCAATTTTTGTCAGCAGTTGTTTTTCAAAAATCAGGTGCCATTAAAAAAACCCTATATTCTGCTAACATAACTGAAACAAATTTAAAATGTGCTGAAACAATCACCAAAATGAACGGGACACATTTAAGAAAAAAATATCAATTTTCGGGGCGCCTGGGTGGCTTAGTCGGTTAAGCGTCCGACTTTCGCTTAGGTCATGCTCTCGCAATTCGTGGGTTCGAGCCCCGTGTCAGGCTCTGTGCTGACAGCCAGCTCAGAGCCTGGAGCCTGTTTCAGTCTGTGACTCCCTCTCTCTCTGACCCTCCCCTGCTCACACTGTCTCTCTCTCTCTCCTAGAAATAAATAAAAATTAAAAAAAAAATTAAAAAAAAATCAATTTTCTTCAATCCCATAAAATGCTTCACTTCAAAAATGGTTCCAAAAATAATAATATCCAAACTAAAACTGTCTGTCATTCAGTGACTTATCCCCCTTCACATTATGAGATATGCAAATCTAATCTCTAATGAATATTCTTGGTAAAGGCTGGTATGGGCATCATTTATGCTTTCCCTTTTATGCCACTTTGTTTTCTCTGAATATGAAAGTACTACATGGACAATGCAGTCAGTTCAAAACCTAATAATATAAATTAAAAGTAAAATAATCACACCAGGAATATTTTCCATAATCACATCAGAAATAATTAGTATCTTAATGTATGTTCTTCCTGTTTTTCTGTACAGAGTTTTTAATTTAGAACCATATTAACATGGCTTTAGATCCTGTTTTTTGACTTACTGTAAATATTTATGTGTTAATTATTTTTCAAAAACAGTTTTTAATGTTTGCATAATACGTATGTACTCACTGTCTGGAGAAAACATAATTTATCCCTTAACAACTAGACAAACTTTCATTTTCACTGTTATAACTGGTAAACACCCTTGAATGTTATTTTCCTGATTATTTTCTTAAGAGAGACTGCTTGATGCAGAATTACCAAAGAATATGAATATTTTAAGACTCATGAATGAGTGCTACCATACAGCTTTTCAATTAGCAGTCCCACCAATACAAATAACCTCCTCCCAAATTGCAGATCTTCTTAATACCTGCCAATTTAATAGAACGGCATGTCCCTGTACTAATATGTAGTCCTTTTTCAGCTCAAAGGAAATCATTATCATACATTTAATCAGAAGTATAATCTGGTGCCTGCCTTCCTGGGTTTGAATATCAGCCCTTCACTTACGAGCTGTAAGCCCCAAGTACTTAGCAAGTTACCTAACCTTTGTCTCTCTGTTCTCTTACCAGTAAAATGAGGATAACAGTATTTACAGAGTTGATTAAATGAGTAAGTATGTATATAAAGTGCTTAGGAAGATGCCTGGCATATGGCAAAAAATATAAATGATACTGCCATCATTACTAGTAATAATAGTAAGTAATAATAGTACTATTTCTCCTTGAGTTGTTTGTTCATATCTTTTGTGAATTTTTCGATCATACAAACCTTTATTTCTTCAAATGAAAGCAATGTGTATGTGTGTGTTTAAAACAGAAAGCCTAACATCTATTTTTAAATAAATGTCAAAGAAGTAAGCTAAATAAAAAGACTTAAGAGGCAGTTGAAATCAGAAAAGTTAAGTAGAAGACTAATTTTTCTAGTGTTCTATGCCTAAGGGTCTGGGGGCTGGCGGGAGAGAAAAAAGACACCTATAAATATAAATCACTAATATGTACATTAACCATATTTAAAAGGTTAGAAAATTCAGATATATCAAAGATTTAAATATCAGGTGAGTGAGTCTCCAAAAAATCTATGAATGACAATTTGCTCACTAGAATACTTTCACCTGTAACATCCGGCATGGTTCAGCACACAGAATACTTGGCTTTGATTCAGGAGAATGATTTCCTAATCCCAGCACTTGCACTAACTTCCTATCCGTGCTTCTCTGGTCTCAGTGATAAAGGGAAGCAGCTGCCACCTGCTCTATATTCTTTACAGAGTTGTTCTAGCAAGTGACAGAACACAAATGCAAGCGACACAACAGGAGGGCTACAAACTTAATCACTTCATAACTAATTCAACCAGAAAAACTGAAAAATGTGCCCTTATTTTAAAACAATTTCCTTCTTTACCTTAGAGCTAAAATTAACTATCATTATACCAGTCTTCACTGAAAAATCTAACAATGAAATACCATTTAAGCCTAACAGAGATAACTAAGTATTAAGTGAATGTTCAAAGACTTAGCTTTAAATTTTGACTTAATGCTTGATAAGAAGGAAGACAACTCAGGGGCACCTGGGTGGGTCAGTTAAGCATCCAATCCTTGATTTCCACCCAGGTCATGGTCTCACGGTTCACGGGTTGTAGCCCTGATGTCAGTGCAGAGCCTGCTTGGGACTCTCCCCCCCACCCCCTTCTCTGTCCTTCTCCCACTCATGTACACATATGCCTTCTCTCAAAATAAATAAATAACCATTAAAAAAAAAAATAGGGAGGAACACCTGGCTCAGGTCATGATTTCACGGTTCGTGGGTTTGAGCCCCACACTGGGCTCTGTGCTGACAGCTCGGAGCCTGGAGCCTGCTTTGGATTCTCTCTCTGTCTCTCTCTCTCTCTGCCCCTCCAGCACTCAAACTCTGTCTCTCAAAAATGAAAAAGTGTTAAAAATTTTATTTAAAAAAAGGGAAAGTAACTTGGTAACATTGAAATACTGTCCAAAAAAAATTCCTCTCATGGATGTATATTCAATTAGACCAATACATATCCTCATATACCATGATCATGTTTCTAGTTCAAAATCAATTCCACATGAAGTACTATTGACCCAATTTCTGACACTAGTGTAGATCTCCAAGGTTCAAAATCCTTTATCTAATGATTCCAAAATTGTGAGGCAGCCCTGTAAAACATTTCTAGATGCAAATTATCCCAAAATGTAGTATTTGTCACAGACACACAATCCATAGTCATATTTAAGTTTAAAATTACATGGCTTTTAAACACAGAATCCAAAAGATGGAATTCAAATATACAAGGAACAAAACCAGTATGCACGTGTATATAACAGTAACCCCAACTGTCAGCACGGATGCATCACCTATTTAATAACAGGCACCACAACAGGGTCTTCACATAGAATTTCTAACCTTCACAAACAAACAGGTAAAGAAATTAGGACTCAGAAAGGTTAAGTAATTCTCCCACAATTACACAGGCAGCAAATAGCAGATCCCAAATATAACTGGATTTAAAGCATAATTGAGTTTACAGCATAAATTCTTTCCCACTCTGCCATGCTGCTTCGTAAGGCTAATGGTAAAAATTAGCTCTAGAGGATTATAAAATAGTACAAAGAAAGTGTCATCAACTCAATTTAGCAATGGCAAGAGCTCATGGCCATACTTTCTAATTTAAGAAAGTTCAGGAATCTTTCTTTAGTCTTCCTGAGGTATTAAGAAAACTAGTACAAGAGTGCCCACACACCTCCCATGAATAGAAGAGACGTTTTTTATTTCACTCAGATAATTATATGCCTTCTTTTACATGTTACCACTCTAAGACTGTATCTACACAAGCTAATTTTTAGAGGGTACGTATAACAAGCCAAGAAAATAACTATTCGAATAATAGCAAGAAAGACGGGAGGGAAACCTTCTCCTCAATGGCTGGCATCTGCTGTACAGGTAGTCAAGGTCCTCAAAAAACTGAACTGAACTGCCAGAGACTCCCGTGGCCTAAATAGAAAGCCACTATAGTCAGTTCAGAATGGTTGGAATTAAATAGATTACAACAGAAATCAGGATAAATGCAGTTTCTAACAGCATGAATGTATTTAAAGAAAATTTATATTGATTCTTAATGCGCTATTCTTTAGACACAATACATAGGAAAT